TCATGGGATCAAAATTTAGAAGCTTAACAACGGGTTCACATTTATGACGGTTGAAATGACTGGAGGGGATCAACATGATTCCCTTTTGCGACCTTCAAACTCAATAGGGGAAGCCAGATTCACTTAGCAACCGGGTTACTAACTTATCAACTGAGGTGACTCACTTAACGAACAAGAAAGGTTGTAAAATAGAACAAAGCTAATTTAGCAACAGGATCCCTTCACAATAGAAATTTCATGCTCAATTGTGGTCGTAAGTCGAGGACCACCTGTATTTTAGATTAACAAAGTTGGAAGGGACCTTGTAGGTCATCTAGTCCAACCCCCTCACTCCCCCCCGTCCAAGCAGGAGACCCCTACATCATTTCTGAGAAAGGGCAATCCAATCTCGGTGGGCTTGAAAAAGTAACCCAACCCAGAAGCTGTGACCCATTCCCTTTAATTCCGATAAATGCATCGGGGATTTATTTAGTGAGTAGCGACCAAATTTATATTCCACCCTATCGCGAGACTGTAAGATGGTTTATAGCAGGAATAGACGCAATGCAATATCAGGAATAAACATATCGCTTCATTATGCATATCCCTGCTGTAAACTATAAAGCACAAAAACACACAACGGTTTTCAAAGGCAGCCAGTTCCAGTTGAATGTTTGGGGGAGAGGAGGCCAAATAGCTACATTTTTCGACACAAACATGTATACATCCGAACTAGACCGTGTTTGTTTCTCTGTGTCGTAAAATATATGTGGGTATATCAGGGGTGAGATCCAGCAGGTTCTGGAGAACCGGTAGCGGAAATTTTGAGTAGTTCGGAGAACCGGTAAATGCTACCTCTGGCTGGCCCGAGTGGGGTGGGAATGGAGATTTTGCAGTATCCTTCCCCCAGGAGTGGGGAGGGAATGGGGATTTTTGCAATATCCTTCCACCAGGAATGGGGAGGGAATGGAGATTTTGCAATATCCTTCCCCTGGAGTGGGTGGGAATGGAGATTTTGCAATATCCTTCCCCTGGAGTGGGGTGGGAATGGAGATTTTGCAATATCCTTCCCCCAGGAATGGGGAGGGAATGGGGATTTTGCAATATCCTTCCACCAGAGTGGGGAGGGAATGGGAGTTTTGCAGTATCCTTCCCTGGAGTGGGGTGGGAATGGAGATTTTGCAATATCCTTCCCCTAGGAGTGAGGAGGGAATGGGGATTTTGTAGTATCCTTCCCTTGGAGTGAGGAGGGAATGGAGATTTTGCAATATCCTTCCCCCAGGAGTGGGGAGGAAATGGGGATTTTGTAGTATCCTTCCCTTGGAGTGAGGAGGGAATGGGGATTTTGCAATATCCTTCCCCCAGGAGTGGGGAGGGAATGGGGATTTTGCAGTATCCTTCCCCCAGGAGTGGGGAGGGAATGGAGATTTTGCAGTATCCTTACCCCGCCATGCCCACCAAGCCACACCCACAGAACCGGTAGTAAAAAAAAATTGGATTTCACCACTGGGGTATCTATACATAATTTTGTATTTATTAATTTATCTTGTCATGTTCATATAGTTGTAAAATTGGAGGGGGTGACCCTTTAAGAGTTGTAGGCATATTAGAAATTTCATTTTTAGCGTGTGCCCATTAATGTACATTTCAAAGTGACAATGAAGTCGTTCGATTCTAAAATAGCTACTTGGAAGAGTTACTTATATGACCATTTTTCACTCTTGCCTCACAGTCACATGATCCAAATTCAGACGCTTGGCAACGGTCTCTCATTTACGACGGTCGCATTGTTCCCGGGGGGGGGGGAGGCAACCCAAGTCAGATTCACTTAACAACCGGGTTACTAACTGAACGACCGCCGTGATACGCTTCACAATTGTGGCAAGAAAGGTCGTAAAGCGAGACACAACTCACTTAAGAATCGTCTGGCTCAACTTTGGTGCCCGTTCAAATTTGTTTCAAACTTCAAATAAATTTCAAATTTGGAAGTCCATTGCCGTCGTAAATCACGAGATAAATCCCGTGTGTCTGGATTTAAGCTGTGCTGACTGACCTCGGGGGAGGGGGGGATTCCTCGGAGACCTTCTCCCTCCTGTGTTGTGCAAAGAAGTAAAGAGGACACAACCACACACGCTCAGCCTTTGCAGACTGCCAATTTGTATCGGGGACGTGCAATGAAAGGGTTTTTTTTCCAGCGAGCTCGGGGAAAGCAGTGTGTACGATTTGCAAGGAACAAAAGGGCCGGCCACAGAAAAACAGCTGTAGGATTTCCCCTTGCAACCATGGGTGGGAAGGAGATTTTTCACCCCCTCACACCTCCCCCCAAGATCCTTTGAAGGGGGGAAGCCAGCAACTGAACCCAGCTCCTGTGCCCCTCCCACCCTCACCCCAAGATCTTTTAAAGGATCTATCCGATGGTGGGATTCAGCCAGTTCGCACCGATTCGGGAGAACCGGTTGTTAAATTTCTAAGCAGTTCGGAGAACCGGTTCTTGGAAGAAAATCTTATTTTGTTTTTTCCCCACTCTACAGGGCTAATCCTGTAAGGAAGGCAGGAAGGAAACATTCTGGTGGTGTTTCTAGCCTAATCTTTATTGCCCTGCTTACAGAAACTGCCTCTGGTTAACCCTTATTACATTGTAACAGTAAGGTGAAGCGCCCATCGACGTGAGTGACGTTGAATTGGCCACGCCCACACGGTCACATGACCACTGAGCCACACCTACCCAGCTGGTCATTAGGGCAGAGAACCAGTTATTAAATTATCTGAATCCCACCACTGGATCTATCTAACAAAATGAAATTCAACGTAGAGAAAAGGAAAGTCTTACACTTAGGCAAGAAAATCCAAAAGGACACATATAAACTGGGTGAAACCAGGCTTAATAGCAGTAACTGGGAGAGGGATCTTGGAGTCTTAGTGGACAACGAGTTAAATAGGAGCCAGCAGTGTGCGGCTGCAGCCAAAAATGCCAATGCAATCCTAAATTGCATTAACAGAGGGATACAATCAAGATCAGTTGAGGTATTAATGCCACTCTATAAAGCCTTAGTAAGATCGCACCTAGAATCCTGCATCCAGTTTTCGTCACCACACTATAAAAAAGACATTGAGACTCTAGAAAGAGTGCAGAGAAGAGCAACCAGGATGATTAGAAGACTGGAGACTAAAACATACGATGAACGGTTGCAGGAACTGGGCATGGCTAGTCTAGTGAAGAGAAGGACCAGGGGAGACAGGATAGCCATCTTCCAATATTTGAGGGGCTGCCACAGAGAGGAGGAAGGGGGTCAAGCTATTTTCCAAGGCACCCGAAGGCCAGACAAGGAGCAATGGATGGAAACTGATCAAGGAGAGATTCAACCTAGAAATAAGGAGAATTTTTTGACCGTGAGAACAATCAACTGATGGAACAGAAGTTGCCTTCAGAAGTTGTGGGAGCTTCATCACTGGAGGCTTTCAAGAAGAGATTGGACGGCCATCGGTCAGAAATGGTATAAGCCAGGGTCTCCTGCTTGGGCGGGGGGGTTGGACTAGATGACCTACAGGGTCCCTTCCAACTCTATTAATCTGTTAAACCTTTGAACGGGGGAGGGGGGAAGCCAGCCACCGAGCTAATCGGTAGGAAGCTTCTCAGACGTGATGGACTTGATTGAAGGCTAAGGCTGAAAAGTCGGCCTTGTCAGCCACGTTGTGCCCCCTCTGATTAAGGCCAATGGCCAACAAAAAGTAACAAGAGTCAAGGAAGAGAGTCCGAGAGTCCAGCACTGATGATGTTACCTAGTTGGGTAATGAAACGTCTGCAAGAAAACCAGCAAGCTCAGAGAAGACGAAAGAAGAGGCAAGGAGGGCTTGAGTTCATTCATCAGTAGCAAGAGGATAGTAGTCACTGGTTAGCCGTCAAGGAGCCCCAGGTTCGAATCCCATTTCTGTCCAACCGATCTCGCAGGGTTGTAGGGAGGATAAACAGGGAAGGTGGGCTCACATTTTTTGAGGTGGAAACATAGGAAGGGAATGGAATGGGAAGGGAATCCCCCTTTTTTACTTTTTACTTTTTCTCTTTCACCCTCTCTTTCCCTCCCTTCTCTCCCTCCCCCTTTTCCTCTCTCTTTCTCTCTCCTCTCTCTCCCTCCATCCCTCCCTCTCCCTCTCCCTCTCCCCCTCCCTCTTTCTCTCTTCCTCTCAACTTCTCTCTTTCACCCTCTTTCTCTCCCTCCCTTCTCTCTTTCCCTCCCTCTCCCTTCCTCTCAACTTCTCTCTCTCCTTCTTTCACCCTCTTTCTCTCCCTCCCCTCTCTTTCCCTCCCTCTCTTTCTCTCTTCCTCTCAACCTCTCTCTCTCCCTCTTTCACCCTCCCTCTTTCTCTCCCTCCCCTCTGTCTTTCCCTCCCTCTCTCCTTCTCTCTTCCTCTCAACTTCTCTCTCTCCCTCTTTCACCCTCTTTCTCTCCCTCCCCTCTCTTTCCCTCCCTCTCTTTCTCTCTTCCTCTCAACCTCTCTCTCTCCCTCTTTCACCCTCCCCTCTCTCTTTCCCTCCCTCTCTCTTTCTCGCTCCATCTCAGCTTCTCTCTCTCCCTCTTTCACCCTCTCTCTCCCTCCCCCCTCCTCCCTCTTTCTCTCTCTTTCACCTTCTCTCTTTCTCTTCCTCTCCCTCCCCCCTCTCCCTCCACTCTCTCTGTCTCCCTCTGCACATGTCTGTCTGTCTGTCTCCCCTCCCTCTCCCCCTCCTCCCCCCCTCTCTCTGTACACGTGTATCTGTGTCTCCGTCTCTCCCACGCTGGCAGTTGTGTGTCTGGCTACTGCCCAACCTCCTCAAAAGTTATCTGGGTCACTGACAACTTTGGCGGCCGCCGTTCCCACGACCTTTAACCAAACCGGGTCCTATTCCAGCCTTAGACGCGTGTTTGCCCAAAGTCCAGGACTCCAGTTGGACTGCGGGGGTCGTGGGAACGCAGCAGCCCCGCTTCTCTCCCTCCCTCTCCCCCCTTCCATCTGCTCTCCAGTCCCAGGCAGGAGCCACTTACCCGGAGCGCTCCGAGATCGGTGTTATCCAAGCTCCGCGCCGCGCAGTCGCTGGCCATGGCTCAGAGGATGCTGGCGGCCTCCGGGCTGCGCGTTGCTGCAGAGGAGCGGGGCGAGCGCGGGGCTGGTTCGGCGGTTTTAGCGGACCGAGCCGTGGTCCATGGCCGGGGAAAGGCCGGCGGGACCCAGCGCAGGAAGCCGGACATGCAGAGCCGGGGGAAAACGGGAGGAGAAAAAGAAAGAGAAAGGAAAGAAAGGAAGGAAGGAAAGAAGGAGAAGAAAAAGAAGAAGAAGAAACTTTTCTTCTTCCTTCCTTCCTTTCCCCCCTCCCTCCTTTCCGCCCCGCCCGCGGTCAGAGGGCGAGGACCCAGCGGCTCCGCCGTCCAGATGTTTGCAAGGACAACAACTTTCGCGCAGACATTTCCTCGGGAAAAAGTTTGCGAGGAAGTGACGTGGGCTGGGGGGGGGGGAGGGGTGGTGCAACAGCTGGGCCGGCTGGATGTGGGGGGGGGGGGAGAAGAGGGCAGGGGGCAGCTGCAGAAGGGAGGATGTGGGGGGGGGGGTCGGCTCCTGGGATGCCCCGGTTGGCTCCTCTCTCCGTTACCCGTGAAGTTGGGCTGTTCACACAACCGCTTTTTTCTCCAAGCCATTTGCACATGGCAGGCGCTCCGGGTTAACGGGGAAAGCCCCATCCAAAGCCAAGCAGGGTTAACCCTCCCCAAGCTTCTTTCTTTCTTTCTTTCTTTCTTTCTTTCTTTCTCTTTCTTTCTTTCTTTCTTTTCTTTCTTTCTTTCTTTCTTTCTTTCTTTCTTTCTTCTTCTTCTTTCTTTCTTTCTTTTCTTTCTTTCTTTCTTCCTTTTTCTTTCTTCCCCCTCCCCTCCCTCCCTTTCTTCCTCCTTTCCTTTTCTTTCTTTCTTTCTTTCTTTCTTCCCTCCCTCCCTCCCTCCCTCCCTCCCTCCCTTTCTTCCTCCTTTCCTTTTCTTTCTTTCTTTCTTTCACTTTCCTTCTTTCCTTTTCCCTTGTCCCTTTTCTTTCCTTTTTTCCTTCCTTCCTTCTTTCTTTCTTTTCTTTTTCTTTCTTTCTTTCTTTCTTTCTTTCTTCTTTCTTCTTCTCTTCTTCCTTTCTTCTTTCTTCTTTCTTCCTTCCTTTCTTCCTCCTTTCCTTTTCTCTTTTCCTCTTTTTCTTTCTTTCTTTCTCTTTCCTTCCTCCCTCCCTCCCTCCTTTCCTCTTCTCCTTTCTTTCTTTCTTTCTTTTCTTTCTTCTTTCTTTCTTTTTCTTTCTTTCTTTCTTTCTTTCTTTCTTTCCTTCCTTCCTTCCTTCCTTCCTTCCTTCCTTTTTATTTCTTTCTTTCTTTCTTTCTTTCTTACTTACTTACTTACTTACTTATTTTAATTTGGTCAAAGTTCAAGCTCTATGACTTGATTTCATTGTATAGTTAGTTTATGTTTAGTTTGTTTAAACGTTCATGTCTGTATGTGTACGTTTGTCTATAATAAAAAAATAAAAAAAAATAAAATCTCCATTCCCTCCCCACTCCAGGGGAAGGATACTGCAAAATCCCCATTTCCTCCCGATCAGCTGGGACTCGGGAGGAGGCAGAGAATAGATGGGGGGGCGGGGCCAGTCAGAATTTTTACTACCGGTTCTCCGAACTACACAGAATTTCTGCTACCGGTTCTCCAGAACTGGTCAGAACCTGCTGAAACCCACCTCTGCAGGAGACGGTGAGTTCTAGTTCCACCTTAGACCAGAAGTTATGAGTTGTGAGTTCAAGTCCCGTCTTAGACCAGGAGTTATGAGTTGTGAGTTCTAGTCCTGTCTTAGACCAGGAGTTATGAGTTGTGAGTTCAAGTCCCGTCTTAGTCACGAAAGCCAGCTGGGTGACTTCGGCCCACTCCCTCTCTTTCCACCCACCTCACAGGGCTGTTGTGAGGAAAAACAGGAGGAACGAAGAAGCATTAAGCATATCCGCCGCCTTGAGTTATTTATAAACGAACAAAGTGGATAAAAAAAAATAAATAAAACTATAATTTAATACAGGTAGGCAGGCTTTCTTTAGGCCAGAGCGTGCCATTTTCTTCCAAACTGGATCCTCTTTAGCAGGGCCCAGGCCAAAGTTAAACACTTTTTTTGCTGTATGCAAAAAAAAAAAAAAAAAAAAAAACCTTCCTTCTCTAATTTTAGCTTCTCTGTCAGGAAGTCTTCAGCCTGTTATTTGCTCCTCTGTGTTAGCGTCGTTATTTTTTTAAGGTGTGTGTGTTTGTCTACCTCTGTATCTACAGTTACATCCTCCTCTCTCTCTCTCTCTCTCTCTCCCCCTCTCCCTCCCTCTCCCTCCCTCTCTCTATCTCTCCCTTTTCCTTCTCTCCCTCTCTCTCTCCCTCTCTCTCTTCCTCCCCCTTCTCCCCATTCTCTCTCTCCTTCTCCCCCCCTCTCTCTCTCTCCCTCCCTCTTTCTCTCCCTCTCTCTGCCCCCTCTCTCTCTTTCCTTCTCTCCTTCTCTCCCTCTCTCTCCCTCTCTCCCTCTCTCTCCCTCCCCCTCTCCCCTCTCCCCCTCTCCCCCTCTCCCTCCCTGTCTCCCTCTCTCTCCCTGTCTCCCTCTCCCCTTCTCCCCCCCTCTCTCTCTATATATAAAGACCTACATATATATATATATATATATATATATATATATATATATATATATATATATATATATATATATATATATATATATATATATATATCTGCCCAGAGTTATAATTCCAACAATGAACTTGAGCCTTACTTGCACCTCTGTGTCACTTCTAGAAAGTAGGTTAGCCACATGCACACGCCCTGAGTGTGGGCAGGGGGTAGCTGTTTTTGTGGTTTGAGCCGGGGACGCTCTTTCCTGCAGCGAAGGAAGCTGGGTAAGACACAGAAATCCCCCCTCCCTCCCCATGGGAATGGGGTGGGGTGGGGGTCTCAGAAAGGCTTTGATGATTTTTGGGTGGGGGAAAGGAGTTGGGCTCCATGAAAAGAAGGGGCTTCAGAATTCACTTTGTCAGTTTTCCTAGTTAGTTGGTCAATGATTTGGGCGGTGGTGTGGATTTATTTTCTGGATGCTGTCAACCCTTTTATTCGAACCGCTGAACTGCCGACCTTTTGACTGACAAGCTCAGCATCTTAGCCACTGAGCCACTGCATCTCTTAATTGTGATCGTAGTCATCATAAAAATACATTCATCATGAATCATGAGATGCAACACTTAGTGATAGTCACAGGATACCAAATAAGCAATCAAAATCATATTAGGAAACTAAATAACACAATATAAATCGTAAAGATACAAGCAACAAGGTTATAGTCATGAGTAGAAAGGAGACAGGTCTGCCTTTAAAGCCTGTCCCGTATTGGGGGGAAAGTAACAGACACCCAGTAATAGGAGCAGAAATATTCAGTTTTTGCAAGTTTTTCCCTGACACCAATCTTGGCCTGGGGTCACAAGAAGCTTTGCTTAACCTGGAATCAGCCAGCCATCTTGGGACTACAGGTTGCAGAATCCTCAGCTTTTCTTTGGCTGGAGATTAGGGTCCCAGTAGTAGTTCTGCCTTAGGCAGGAAAGCCAATTGGGCAACTTTGGGCTTCTCTCTCTCTCTCTCTCTCTCTCTCTCCTCCCTCCCTCCCTCCCACCCTCCCTCCCTCCCTCCCTCCCTCTCCACACATACACACAGTCCACCTCACAGGGTTGTTGTGGGGAAAGTAGGAGGATGGAAGAGTATTAGGGATATTTGCTGGAAAGAAAGAAAAGAGAGAGAGGGAAAGAGAAAGAAAGAGAAAAAGAAAAGAAAAAAGAAAGAAAGAAGAAAAGAGAAAAAGAAAGGAGGGAGGGAGGAAGGAAGAGAAGAAAGAGAAAGAAAGAAAGAAAAAAGAGAAAAGGAATGAAGGAAGGAAAGAAGGAAAGAGAAAGAAAGAAAGGGAAGAAAGAAAGAAAGAAAGAAAGAAAGGAAAAGAGAAAAGGAAAGGAGGAAGAAAGGGAGGGAGGGGGGAAGAAAGAAAGAAGAAAAGAGAGAAGGAAGGAAGGGAGGGAGGGGGAAGAAAGAAAGAAAGAAAGAAAGAAAGAAAGAAAGAAAGAAAGAAAGAAAGAAAGAAAGAAAAGATAAGATAAGATGCCAGTGTTAAACACTTCAAGATGTCGACTTCAGGAAAGGGAAGTGAGAAAAGGAACTTCATTGACTTCAGCCAAGGGCCTGTTATTTTGCTCCTTCTCCTGATATTTTTCTTGCTATTATATCCCTCCGGAGCAGGGAGCATGTTTATTTTTATATAAGCCTGAACATTTTATTTATTTATTTATTTATATCGAATTTATATACCGCCCTTCTCCCTGAGGACTCAGGGTGGTGTACAGCCAAAGTAAAAACATAAACTACAAACATTAAAATACAATTAAATATATATATATTTGGCCCCATAATTAAAAGCAATGACAAACCAATTAAAAACATTTTTAAAAGTGTTAAAAAACATCAAGAGAACAAGAACTGAGAAAACCACCATGGCTTAAAACGAAAGCAGCACCTTCTGCAAAAAAAAAGTGTGTGGCTCTCACATTCTGCAAAGCCGCAAACTCCTGAGGTTGCCGCAATGGTTGAGCACATTGTAAGCCGCCCTGAGTCTTCGGAGAAGGGCGGCATATAAATCAAATTAAAAAAAAAAATGGTGATTTTTGGCAGCTCCCTCCTGAGTATTCTCGCTGGAGAAGGGGAGAGACCCCCCCACCCCACCCTTCCTGGGACACTCCCACCAGCCCTGCCTGTAAGGAGGATGCTAAGAACTGAGGTTCCTTTTGGGCCGATTCTCTCTGCCACCACGTTCTGTCCCAGCTCTTTTTATAGTAATAGAGTTGTTTGTTTGTTTGTTTTATTAGATTTATATACCGCCCTACTCCTGAAGGATTCAGGGCGGTAAACAGGCACAAAATAAAATACGTAGATACAAAAGTTAAAAGACATAATTAAAACCAGATTAAATAATTTAGCTCGAGACAATTAAAAATCCCAATAATTTAAAACAGATTAAAATTTCGATTTAAAAGAATTTTAAAAACAGGGGAGAAAATTAGGCCAGGCCGGCTTGCTGGAATAGGAGAGTCTTAAGAGCACGGCGGAAAGTGCGCAGATCCGGGATCCTCCGTATCTCTGGGGGAGCTCGTTCCAGATAGTGGGTGCCCCACAGAGAAGGCCCTCCCCCTGGGGGCCGCTAGTCGACATTGTTTAGCTGACGGCACCCGGAGGAGGCCCTCTCTATGGGAGCGTACCGGCCGGTGGGAGGCTATTGGTGGTAGTAGGCGGTCCCGCAAGTACCCAGGTCTGAGCCATGGAGCGCTTTAAAGGTGGTGATCAAAACCTTGAAGCGCACCCGGAAGACCACCGGGAGCCAGTGCAGCTCGCGCAGGAGAGG